TGAAGTCCGTCACTCAACACTAAATAAAACATGCGTGGTCCGATCAGTTCAACATGCACACACCAGCCCGGTTAATGTTTGATTAGTCCGTTGATTGACTGCGATCCGACTGATGATTGATATGAGCGAGAACATACTTAGTATGATACCGACTGTGATTGTTAGGAACCCGTCAAATAATTGACATGAACTTCACTGTGATTGGCCTGAAACAAAGCAATGAATGATATGAAAATTATAGCAAGTTACTGAAGTACTTAAAAAAGGAACTTCATGTAATCAATAATTCATATACTCTACTAAAGTTATAATGGAGACGGTGATACAGTAAAATAGATTTAGAAAAAGTTTCACAGCAGCGGACTAAATATAGAAGTAACCTAGCTGTTACCAGTACGGAGCATCGTCTAGTAGTATAAACTTCTCAATTGACGAATAAAAAAATGTTAATATCTCTGTTGCAGCAACACAATCAAATTGGGTACGACTGTGATGAATAAATTGAAAGATAATTTGATATCAACTTTAGGATCCATGTTCATTTTCACGCCCTGCACGGAATTATATTCGGCTTCAAAGCTGATCATAGCATAATTTTGCTTTCGGTAGATAATGTTTAAACCGTCATTGCCGAACAGCCTCCATTCTGTATTTCATCAAAGGGTGCAAATTTATCGTGTGTTGCATGTGTGGTTTTCTAGCGCGCTGCTAGTATTTAAGTCTCATGGGTTACGTGTGATCATGTCTCGTGCGCTAGGGGTGTGGATGTCTTAAGAAATCCATGCCACTGATATGACAAAAGCCATAAGCAAACGCGTCTTTCGTGACAACATCGAGAGCGCAATTGCAGGGAAGCGGTAGACGGAAACGCCGCGCCAACATAGCGCGCATCAGGTAGCGGCTCTCAGGTCTCTGATGTCACGCAAGAGAGTTTGTGGCTCAAATTTGACCAGAAAATCAATTAAAAAACTTTCTCAAATGAATTTGTGGGCACATTCCTTTTACTTGGTTCTACTTTTCTTACGATTTAAAAAAATGACCAGTGTATATGAATGATGGTCGTATGAAAATTCGACATTAAATTTAAATTATTCATGGATTATTTAAGAAGCATGTTATTAATATGCTAGTATTAAAAGAATATAAAACGTTTTCAAATAAATATTGTATTAATAGATATCAAAAAAATTCAAATGTTCGATAAATTCAAAAAGGCGAAATAGTAAATGTCAGAATAAAATTAAACAACCTTTTGGCCAAAATTTAAGTTCCAAAATTAGCCAAATACTGCAAAATTATTCTAAAACCCGTCCACTTAATTAGCAAGACTGTTTGGCAAGTTTTTCCAGTAATGGTAGAAAACCCTCATAAACCAAGAATTTTTAAAGGGCTGATAAGCTATCCAAAGACTGATAACAGAATATTACTCGGAAACTTTGACAGTAGTCAGAAAAGAAAGTACTGCAAGATTTGCCGCCACTCTCACGACTGCGATTTTCGTGATCTAAAAGACAAAAATGATAAAAAAGACGATGTTCTTGGCATAGGCACTGGGAAGAAAGTTACAATGAATTTTATAGTTATTATAATACCAAATCTATAGACCAGAGTGAGAGATGTTTAATTCACCGATGATGTCCAAAAATCGTATGTACTTTTACTATTTTTTTCGTTATTTTAATGTTGAATCAAGACTGTCAAATGCAAACGTATCGACAACTATGTGGCCTATTTTTTCCAAATATTTTACAGTAAATAAAATTATCGTTATAGCTCAATACATGGCGCAAGAATTGAGTGAGTCATCGCAACGAAATATCAGTCGGTGTCTTACAGTTGGTAAAATATACTAGAAGAATCTTGGAAGCTCGCTTAATCTACGGTCACACATTTTATTTAAAGTTCCCTGAAAACACGCACACTCATCACGTCATACACTTCAAGATAGATGATTAATCACCACAAAACTTGAATTTAATCCATTCAAAGTATGCTTCCACCAGTCACTATAAAGATCTGCGCAATTATTAACCCCTTTTTAGAATGGTGGATTTAGTCCTATTTTAAATGTCATATCATGTGTAATGAGTTCATCAATTTAAAACCCTTCTGCTAGAGCGTTTTAATCCCGGGGAACTAACTGAGCATAAAATCTGCAAAGATCTATAATTTAAACGATACATTTAACGAAAAAACAATTGAACTAAGTAGAATAACGAGAAGATGAACGAGTTCTGAAAAAAAACTTCCATTTAGCCGAGATTGAAGGTAATGCCCAAGCCGTGCCCCAACTGGAAGCATTGCACAAACAGTCTCTCGCCTATCGAGAGGACGCAGCATTCGGGGAAAGCCTTACGAGGTAATTCTCATTCTGGTCATTCAAGGCTCAAGGCGATATCGGGAACTGCACAATACCTTTTCATTATAAAAAAATAAATCAATACAGTCGGTAGCCGGCTCTTGGCTATTGCCCGCACCAATGTCATGGTGGGGCACTGGATTGCACAGAATAACGTATGGTGTAATTTGAAAAAATAACGCAAATAAATTAACTAAATTTTACCTGAACTATCATTTATTTTACAATATATCATTTGTTATGTGTTATCACTGATTGTAAGCACGTTAAATAAATAAACTCATAGTATACGACCAAAAGAATCAATAAATTCATCCTGATCAGTTAATTTTTAGATGAAATCATAATGTCATTACGTGCGAAAAATTCAGTTATTTAGATATTGTGCGATACAGAGAGGTTATTAGTACACCCAGTTCACAATTTATTGTTGCTTCATCAATTAATTATTACATATTCTTAAAAAGTTTAATAGAAAACTTCCGTTCCATTGGATAATGGAGTGTTTGGGAGCCCACGAATAGACACTAAAGACGTCGAATTAGCTACGCCGGTGTGATGGTATAATATATAATACAAATTAACAGTGCTTTAAGAAAATGAAGTTTAAAAAGTTTTAAACGCTTTTTAAGCGCAAATTTACCGATCTAATGTTAAGACTTATCCGGACCAGAACTTGACCAATCACTAATGATTATTGTTGGCTCTTGAATGTTGCACATTTCCCGCAACAAAAGCCCGGCGTCAGGAGTCGATGGCCATTAACGCGCGTGCGATTCGTCGAAGTAGTGGCAGAAGACCTCGAACAGACCAACATATTAGACGGCTACGCTGGTTAAACGCTATGTTAATTACCCTTCTTACCACTTCGTATATCACTCCTACGATAACAGTGCATTTCTTATCATCGTTAGGATAACCGTGCGCTTCTAATCAGGAACTTTCTTAACCCTTCGTTGCTTCTATGCATGCGAGGTGTTAGACCGCGTCCAGGAATTGTTGTACTGAGACTATTTCTTTTTTATTTACCGGGAAGCGCAAGCTTACGCGCCAGCATGGATTGCATTAGTGTGCGTGCTGAGATTACTTCTCTTGCGCTTACACCATGCTATTGTGTTCTCATAAACGTCTCCGTGAATGTTGTTCTTTGCAACAAGAGATTAGATCGTTAATTTAAGTCATAAACGTTTGTCATCACCAGAGCCGACTGATTAATTAACTGAAGCAATCATTAATATTTTATTAACCCTACTGGAAAGCTATAAAATGTACTGTACACTTTAAGCTCACGCCTGTGAGTTAAAATTGGGTCCAATGAGTCGGATGCCGAGAAATTCTCCTGACGACTGCAATTTTTGTGTCGATAGTGACTATAGATTCCGTGTAGCAATTGTGTGGAAAGATTTTGGAGAAACGGACGGCAATAGGCAGATGAAATCATGAGTTTGCAAATATTTTATGGGGCGGTCTCACCTATGTATTGCTGAAAAGGTGATATCAGGTATGGAAATGGAGCAGCTACGAAGAAAAACTTAAACAGGAATCAAAATCAAACGTTACGCTTATGTCTTCTGAATCTAATAAGAAGAGCAAGGAGCTAAACCTTGCTAAACCTATTAAGCTGCTCGGAGGGTTGAACATCGTTAATGCGAGCCTCCCTGTTTATCAGATCCTACTATCCGATGAAATATCCTTTTCAATGTATAATATATTTATAAATTTAACTCCGGTTCAATTCTCTCTCCAAAGTTTAAAGAAGAATTAAAAATTTAAAATAAAAATATGATATATGCAATAAAAATGAAATCTTAAAAAAATGCATTGAACCCTTATTCATTTTGTCTATGCATGATTCCGCAATCAAAATTAATATTCAAGATGAGTGTATTATCCCAATACAACTGGTATACATATATTAAGGATACGCGATCTGATGCCACTATACATTTCCACGCTTTAAAACGAAGAAAATTTCAACAATAATTAATAAGCAATGTTCCCAACAACGTTCGCAATCTTCGAGGGTCGAAAGTTTTACGGTAAACAAAGTGATTTAACAGTAAGCGTACGACTTAACGAATAACGCTTAGATTTGATCATCATTGTAGTAATTTTGCAAATAACGCATAGATGTAACGATCATCGTGGAGCTGGCTAAGCAATGCCTTCCCTCGCGTGCTCGCCGGTAGCGAAGGCAGGCGTCGGCGCGTGTCTTGCAGCAACCTAACATCGTGGGGCGACGTAGCCTCGTAGGTATAATCCGTCCCCAAACAGTCCTTTGTCCAACCCTCAAAACCAAGTTACGATAGTCATGGATCAATCAGTTATTACTCAGATGAAAAAAATCATCATTAGATTTTTTCATACATGACATTAAAAAAAATTAGTAAATGAATTTCGAGATTTTCGAAAATTCTAACCGTAAAGCGCTGAGAAGCTCACAAATGCAGCAGCAAAACTCAATTCATGGAAATATTTAAAAAAGTGCGCTAATATATTCCAACCGAGAACTAAAGCTAGTACCATATTTTGAAACATCTCCGTAAATTATTAACACTGTCCGAGGGAAAAGCCGGAATACAGGCATACATTATTCAATATCCTGCAATCACTAAAGTTGCAGGGCTCATATATTACTCACGATTGTCTTCTCGTAGCTTATATAGAGCGTCTGGACGCTATTCCAAGTACTGTGACAAATTCATTGGGCTACAATGTAGGTTCTCCTGCTAAGTCCATCAGCCAATGCACTCCTGAGTCAGGAATGGCGCACCACCACCCTCAACTGAAGCAGACGACACACTGACTCTCACTAATGCATGATGAGTTCGCGTGGTCGGAATTATTTCGACCTCCGCGCTCTCTGGATCTCGATGTTCGATTTTCCAGGACTGGACTGAAGTCTAGTGACTATTTTTTTTTCACATAGTAATCGTAAACCTCATCCTGCTCATGGAGCTTGGCTCAAGGTCCGTGTGGAATCCACTATTTTAACTTGGGATTGGCTAACGGATTATCGATTACTCTTTCATTTGGTGAGGGGATCCGCTGCAAACTGAACACAGAAGAAATTAGCAAAGATTTCCGACAAGCGATTTTAAGCAGTTGAGACTCATTTTATTAAATAACAACGAATAATTGATATATAGAAAGAAGTACTTCAATCAGGAATACAAGGATGTTTGAATAATTCTTCAAATTACTTCCAAACCATCACGAAATAATTAAATTCATAAGTAATGATCGTTTAAGAAATGCATTATGATGAACATTACCTTTTGTATAAAATTGAACCCTGATTATCGTCCGGAGCTCAGGTTTACTCATTAATAACACTTCGGTCGGAAAAGCAACCATGCAGTGCATTTGCTGATGATATGCATCGATGAATGCCAGTTTAGTTTAGTCAACCATCAAACACGTTTTCTAAGAAAGATAGAGAAAATGAAAAAATTTAACAGAAACTAAATAAATTTCAAATTTCGATTCACATCGAGGTTTATGCCACGGTGTTTAATCGTTTACAATTTGGTTTCTATTTGCTCCAGTAGGATTCCAAAATCGTTTTCGGTAAATAATAACTAATTTAAACATCATTTATTAAGGAACAAAAATAAAATTGTGTTCCTCGTGATATTTATTTACGGTTATTATATGCCACAAATGTTTCGTTTGATGCCTTCTGTCCAATGGTCCAGAAAGATTATAATTTAAAACATAGCGCAAAAAAGATTTAAACACTCTTAAAAAATCATAAACTAGAATCCACTAGTTTCAGATTTCTAACATGGTAACCAAGTCATCATTCATTATGAACTATTGCTTCAAGAGAGAGTGTAACAGTTGGACGGTTACAATTTTGCTAACTCGGCAAAACATTATTCTTATTTTGTTTACTCCATAGAACGATGATCGTCGGTGGCAAATATCAAGTGTCGACTGATAAATATTACTATTTTGCATAGTGTGTTGTATCTGTAATGAATTGAAGTGTTTGTTATAACTACACAATTGAATTAAAATAAACATTTTTGCGTAAAGTGGCGGGCCACAGCATAAAATTGACATAACTCCCCTTAAAATATTTTAAATTTGGTGTAATGATGAGGAGAACTCTGCCTGGCAGAGTAACTGTGATAACATAGGGGTACTTTTTGCTTCCTCAATGCAATGCTAGTGATGCAGCTCCAAATAGAATAATATAGAAGAATAAGAATAGCGGTTTCAGCGTTTAGTAGGCCGTAGGCCTGTTGCCAATTCTTATCATCGCAGAACATTCACAGCATTTTGCGGTCTCGAACACGCAACGTACTGCTACAATTCTGCTGTGCTTATTTAACCGCCCGGCCTCCTTGCCGATTCTGACCAGAAACTGGCGTACAGAGCTGGGATCGAACCCGCGCCTCTCTGCTCCAACCCTGGTACTCTGAACTGTAACCACTGGGCCACCCTGCTTAATATCATCTGCCCAATATCATCTGAATAGCTTGCCGCCTGCAAAAGAGACTATTCTCTAACGGTTAATCCATTGTTCACCGATGAATTGAAAGAACAGGCTGCTCTTGAAAGCGGTGCTCGCTTTGCTTTGCAATACATGCCTGGTCTGGACAGACTGCGGCTAGCCTAACTTCACATGTCATTTTATATTCTTTATAGTGCAAAACGTTGATAGTTGCGCATGCTCAGTTAATTGAAATTTACTCAAGTCGCATAGCAAAGTCAACTAGAAGAAGCAACAAATTGTGAAGAGACAATTCATTTAACTGGGGGGCTTCGGCTGATAATAAATTAATTTAATTTGTAAAATCATGAATAATGTTTTGACGAATGAAATTCTTGTGCTTCCTCAAATTTAATTGTTGGGTTACTAGTCTTCAAGTTGACGCCAGCTGTGGAAAGGAGGGAAAGATTTCGTTGACGCCACCGAAAATTGGAATCATTAGCTTTTGTTTCAGTATTATAATGTACTCGTAAAAATCGACAACTCCAGTATCCATAAAAAAATTACTTCGGGTTCAAGTGTGACTGAGTGCTCCTATGTGAATATAGAATTAAAAATAATAAAGAAAAAATAATAATGCTCCCAGGAAACAGAGGGTTGCAGTCAATTTTCGATGAATTTTCGATTTCAGATGAAGTCGTTGGAAGATAATAATAACAAAACTAAATTAATTAGAAAGCATCATTTGGTGTGAATATCAACATTATCAATTCAATGATATTTTGTGATTATCATTTTAAACTCGTATTTTCAATGGAGACTTAGCCACAATCTCTCTCATCTTCGAACATTGCTATGAGACCACTAACAAACGAATCAACTTTAGTGCTGCTGGCCACAATTGATATCTTTAGTTGCAGCCTCTCACATTTTATGCAGCTTCACAACACAGTTCCTGCAGTAGCATGTTTCCGCAACATAGATATACTGCAATTTCCATTTCTCTACCACAACTTTCCATTTCTCCAACAACATAGCCACCACAACTCGTTTTTTAACCAGAAAGCGATTAAAACTGTAAATAATATCGCTGCTCCGCCTGCAAGCCATGCATAAGAATGCGAACAAAATTCTTTGATGTTAACGGCAACAATAACCAGCGCTGCTTTCATCCGATGTCGAGGTCGCGATGGGATCCAACAGCTCTCGCAACTTTACATGGGCTTGGCAAATTTTTACTTAAAGATTGATACGAATAATTATTTCACGGTACAACAAACAGCAAAAAATGTCTTCAATAATTATATGTTAGAATTAGTGAGAAATCATTGGAACTATTCTTCAACATGAAAGTCGTGATTACAATGGTGGATAAAATATATGATTGGGAGTAAAATTTTGACAATATTTTACGACAATAAAACGATATTTTAGCGACATCGCTATTGAGAAATTTTGGATAATGCAAATTGAAAAGTATTTGTGATAATTTTTTCGGAATTTGGAATAATTCATCACTTTGTGATCAAAAATAATTCAACACTTTTCTTGATCAAAAAAGTTAATAGTTTCTGAACTGAAGTGAAGTTACGACGCCTTTAAAAGACTGAAAGCAATACTTCTGTCTTTCCTCCAAACATTTAGTCTTTCTACGATATAACCAGCAATTCCAAAAACAGTGAGAATAAAGTTAGGGCATAATACATTGTTCGCACATTTAGGAGATTACATCACAGGATTCGAAGCAAGCAGCGTGCCGCAAGTATTGTAATATTTCACAGAACGCACTAAACTTCGAACTTTTATTACTTCGCTGTTTTCCAGCATTCGTGGAAATTGTGCAGCTGCTTGCAGCCACGACACTGCATTGAGGATGACAGTTTGGTTCCAGCCGCTGTGCGTGTGGGTTCGCCGTTGCTGCCGGGCAGCCGGGCGAGTTACTTAAACATCAGGAAAAAACTCCGTGGAGTTTTAACCGAATACCCAGCAATTATATCTTGATAATCTTGGTACTTGTTAGGGACGTAGCAGTCCCAGGCCACGATGGATCGCCGCGATGGAGTCCCACGATGGATTGATAATACTCAATACATTTAATGGAAAAGTAGCTCTAAATACTATACCAAAATTTCATTCGCATGCTGAGAACATCGAATAAAGTTATTGAAATAATTATAACACGTGACTAAATTAATTAGTTAATTAAGCATTTTTAACAAGCAATACAAAAGGACGGTCCACGATTTAATGTGTCAATAATTCTTTTAGACCAAAGATATAGCAAAGGAATTGACGACAGTATAATTATGATTAGGAAAAATACAGGAATTGGAGTTGAAATGTGACGTTCATAACGACTGGTAGTGTGGGGACGTGTTTTATTCACAACAGCCTTTTTATTTTCAGAAATAAACAATGAAATTTTTCTGCAGTGGAAAATAGATTGAAGCTAATATGAGTTAAAAAGGTAAACGGATAATCAATTTCCTTACTAAGTTTTGAAGTTTCCAAATAATATGAAGACATTTGGAATTTTTAGAGCAAAGTTTTTCTTTCAATTTCGACGAATGAAAATATAAGGAAAAAACGACAAATAAAATTCAATTAAAACATAAAAATAAATAAAATAAAAGAAATTCGGAACAGTCGACAACAAGAATATTTTATTATTATTATTATTTTGTGAAAGACACTTTTTCAGCCTAGCTTCAACGACGGAGGTGATAACAAAAACGTCAGTAACAATATTAATGAATTAAAATTGAAACAGCGCTGGAAATCAAGATAAAAATGTATGTGGGCATTCTGGTCTTTCTGGTCGCAGCAATGCTAGCAGGTGAGCTGGTATTTTGCTACATTTTGACTACAACCTTACTGCTGATCGAGAATATTCAGCAAAAAATTAAATTTTAAATTTATAATCATTCAAGGCCGTAATAAGTGCTGATGAAAAATACTTTATTTGTCATGTCAAAATTTTTTCCTAAGTTATGCTGTTTAATTTTAAGAAATTTGCGCGTAATTTAAATTTTAGAGAACAAAGTTCGGAACGTAGTTGGATGAAAATTATGGGTTCAATTTATACACACGAAAAAATTGATGAGAAAGAAGAATATTTGACGTTCAAAATACCATTATTATTCATGCTGAAGAACTTAAAATGACATTCCTATAAAGCTCGAAAGCTTTTGATAACCCCGTAATATCGGTGAACGCATTTTACTCAAATGCCGCAAATATTTTTGAACAATGCAAACTCGTACGAACATGAATGATCAAAGGAGGCATGCCTATGCATCAGGTACCATTTATTTTTTATCAATGTGAAATGAAAGTATACTGTGTATTGCTACAAATTTTTCAATACGTTGGTTGCCAATTCTTTCTGTAACTAAAAATCTTGGTGATAGAATATCATTAGAATACTGAATTTTCTTTGGACTTAAATTCAGTCCAATTCAGTCAGTGATTCGCTCATTGAATTGGTGCACAATGCCTTATAAATTTTACTGCGTCGTTTCATGACTGTACTTCTTGGATCCACTTATGTTTGGCTACTTGAATAAGTTAATAAATTGCAAAAAGCTATCTCTGTAAAAATGGGTAAGGATGAATGTACGACTTAATTTGCCGATTTTTCCTTTCCTGGATAGACAACAGTTCACAATATCCAATGGCATTCACGGTCGATAAAAAGCTCAGAGCTGCAATTTGGTCTTCAATTTTAGGCAACAATGAAGCGCGGCTAAACTACATTTTCCTTAGAAGAGGCAATTTTGAATGTGAGCCCGGACGCGTTCCCTGGAATTCAATTCCGTGACTTTTTTTAAATGAAATAAAAGATGGACCCTTAGTGTTGCGAGAGAAAGTGTACTGCAAGAAACGGTTTAAATTTCACTTTATTCCCCGTGAACGAAGTATGGTTGAAAGTTAAAGGGGAAACAAAAGTTTTATCACCCACGTCGTGAAGTGAAGAACGAACAATCTGCAGGTTGAGGTCTAAGGACTAGGCTCGCCTGAAATTGAATATTCCTGTAGGATTCAGTGTGGTTCCTACCTTTTGATTGCTTTGATACGCTAGTACTTATGGAAATCAAAGAGGTTTGCTTTTTGAAATGATACTAACTTTATTCTAAAAAATCTCCATCTAAAGTCTGTTATACCTACTTATAAATAGATTCTTTCAATTTAATTTAATATTAAATTACCTGAAGTGGTGAAATATTTTGAATTCGATTAAATGGTTTCAAAACCAAATTAGAACAAAATTGCTGCTGAAGTTCAGCTACTCCTACATTTTATTATAAGAGTAGCTGACAAGGCGAGGACAAGGAAACGAAAAACTCATTGAGGAAGGGAAACAAGATTTCCTGAATAAACTCATTGTTAGGAAAAACCATTTTGAAACATCAGAGACACTTGATGTTTGATGCTTAGGCACATGAAAAGAATCTTCAACAATACTGATTGCTCATTCTCAGACAAAGTGCATTTTCTTTGTTAAAGTCTGTACGCGCTGAAGCATTTGCCACTTTAAATAGAGTCCTATAGTTCGGGTCTCTTCTGTACCTGCTAGGCTTAATGCTTTGCTTTGTGCACAAAGAAAGCTCGGCCCTTCAGATCGTATCGCTCAAAAATATGAGAAAATTAAATGCTCTTTCAGTGGGGGAATTCAAACGGCAAACAAAGCTAAAAATTCTGCAGCAGCCCATGCAATGAGCACGAATATCATATCAAAATCGGAAAATGCGACCAAAATCTAAAAATAATCAACAAAAGAGATAACATGCAAAGTTTTCAGTTATGATGATATGAATCACGGCTTGACACATAAAAATCAATCATCTTGAATATATTTAGTAGCATTATTGGTGAAAACTTAGAATTAAATAAATTTGATCAGTATTGTAGCTATAACATAATAGAATTTATAACGTGAATATAATTATAGTTCAAATCTCGCATGGAAATCACAGAATCAATTAATGGCACGTCAATTCTTTATTAAATTTTGCTAATTGAAATCATCAGAAAATTCATCCTAAATTCATGGATATTGAATTAATTTTAAAATTTTGAGAATTAGGGATGCACTAAACCTGTATGAACCAAAGCCAATCTCATTCATAGAAATTAATTTGATTTAAGAGAGCTTTAAATCTGCTATAGAATGTGCCGAGATATGGTAAAATTTTAACCAAGTTCCTATCCTATGAATCCTGCCTCGCACAAGGAAAACTGTCCTGAAGCGCAATACCAAAAACAATACGTTAACTTCCCATGAAAAGGAATAAAGAGAAATTTTTTAGAATCAAAGACCATAGTAACTTCTTTCGAAGCTGCTTCTTTGGTAGGCAGCGTCTTTGACCTGCCCCTACGATTCTAGACTTCGAGAGACCAAGATTTCGCAGGCATCGCAATACCCTAATATTTTTTCTATCAAAAGATGAGGAAAAGGCGGCTTGTGAGATGGCTCTTTGACAGTCAGGGGCGATGTTTACGACGAAAAATAGGAAAACTATCTCGGTCTGAAGATCTATCATCTAAGGATGATACTTTATGTTTTGCATCAAGATCAGTTTGACATAGCGTCTCTGACAGTCTGTAGCGAAATAAATTATGCAGACATAAAGAGTTGTTGGTTTGTAACTGCGATGATTATTTGATTAATCATATTTCACGACAATCCCATTTACTACTACTACATTCAGTAACGGCGACATGACGGCCTTTGTTGTTGTTGCCTTGTATTGATCTGTTTCGGAAATGAATTATTTGATCAAAACAGTTTATTGCATTTATATTGTTTTATATAGTGTTAAATGTCATAAATGCAGCATATGAACCCCGTAGTTTATAACATATAAGAAATTTTTCATTCTTCACGTATCGTTGAACTTTAAAAACAAAATAATAATAATAATACTGTCTTGTTCGTGCATCAAACTATCGTCGTTAGTTATACCTAGGGGTTTGCCAAATATTATTTTCTGTATTTATGGCTATGTTTATAACGAATAAAAAATTGGCTTAGTATTTCCCCAGCTCCTGATTTGTACAGGCAGCAGCTCAATTTTTTGCTGAGGTTATGCAAGAAACTAAGGCCGTTGTTCATAGCCAAAATAATTAAGTGTAGAAACGTGAATTTTTCCTTTATTAAAAATAATTGTACTAAGAGCAACGCATATTTAACACTATGATAACTTATTTTAATTCTTTATGTAGCCTCGTTGAGAACTTTCAGTGAATTTTTAGCCAAATAATTTACAGCAAATTTGCGAAATTCACAGCAAAAACACGACGATGCCAAAATCTCATTAGAAGTCAAGTCACCAATTCAGTTTTTATCCTCATTAAAACACAGGCGACATGTTCATGCAATAGATGACTGTCAGCCGTCTCTAATACGACTATAATTTTTGCAAGAGTTGGGCCAGCCACGGCTTAAAAAATTGCCGAGGGATCGCCTGAAAATTGTGCACCCGTTAGTAATTTTACTCGGTGAATGTATTTCTAATTTCGAGAAACTGACAACCAGATAACATTCTTGCGACATTTGAGCAATTAATTTTAGGCAGAAAATCGGGAAGAAAACAGAAATGTATCGGAAGCGAGCGTTGCGTGCGATGAGAACGCAACAGTAACTCAGCGCCAGTGCGACCACTTGGCCATATTGGCATAGTGTGCCTAAATACGCCGAGAAATTTAGTATTGACAAAAACTATGCTGACAAATTAAACATTAAAATTATAATAATTTCCACAATTGGTCATAGTTGAGGGAAAAATTATCCCTGATTTATTTCAGCAGGAAATCCATGATTTTTTGTTGTTCATGGCATATCCATCATCAATACTTTTCATCAACGTTCGCCTCTGCCTCTTCTCAGCTCTAAACAGCCCCAATCCTCAATCCATACTCGTTATTATCTCCAGCCCACTCCTGTTCAGTATTCGACAGAGATTTACCGCCGAGGCGCGCCTTATTCTTGCTCATTTTTCGACAACAAAATTAGATTATCTTGAGCAAAGCAGAATTTTCGAAGAAATTCCCAGCCACCGTCACTGCATGACCAGGAAGCGAAGGAGGCTCCGAACGCCGCTTCGTTTGGTTCGGTGCCGGGAAAAAATCATACGGGGCCGTGCAAGAATTAAGAGTACGCAAAAAACAAGCAGCCTTCGCTTTATAAATGAGCTCCTTTCTGAATAATATCCTCCAACTCGCATAGCTCAGAGATTAGAAAACTCAGCCGAAAGAGAAGGCAGAGCTATGATACATAAATGAATTAAAGCAGTAACATGGTCAAATTTTTTAACGAAATTTAGTGCCGAGAAATTCGCGCGACAATAATTGTACCAGTCCTATGTTTGTACAGGTAAATTATTTATAATTGAATAAAATAAAAGTCAGTTATGCCACGCTCTGAACAGTTTTTACTGGCAATTATTTACGAGCATGACATCAGGCGGGCATGATTTAAGCTCTAATTCACTATTTCGGATGCTTTTTTAACTAATCAATTGAGTGAAAAAATGCATAACTAGCAAATAATTTATTAAGCTAATTCCGGAATAATCTGTTCCAATTTGAGAAATTGTAGTCAATTTTCATGATTGGCTTAATGCAAGTCAGAATTAACGCAAAGAACATGTGCGACGATCAAAATATTTAATGCTGAAAAAAATGGATGATGACCAAAGTCCGTCGCGCTATGTTCACCACTTAATGCAGATGTAGAACTATGAAAAGATAGAGACTATAAAAGATGTGACTTCTGAGCCAGATTTTTTACAGGAAGCCGCTTGGCAAAAACAAATGTATTCAATTTGCGAAGAAAAACTATCGATCGCCCACATCTCAAGAAAAGTCTAAAAAACTATAAGCTCTCGTTCGCTCTGAGTTCGCCGCTCGCCGTGTGGACGAAAAATCGAACAAAATTGGATTAGCTTCCCGAAGGACACTTTTTATTTTACTGATTAAAAATCAAATAACAAAACTTGATGCGTCACTCAAGAGGAAATTTAGGTTTTATAAGCTTATCGGATAATAATTTCATATAATTTCATTTTAAGAGAAATCGGGAATTCTGCTAGATATATTTTGATGTTGTTGAATTCAATTTGTTTGATGCCTTCTGCTTATTTTTACAAATATTGGAATTACACCACAAGTATATTTTCATTTTTCACATCAGTTATATAAAAACTATTTTCCTACCTAAACTAAACATTAACTAATCCTTCACGTCCTGCACACCAGTGCACAGATAGATCAATACATACTTATCAATCAAATAGTTTTTCAATGAATTGATAGGCTATAAAATATATTAACGGCAAGTTTGAAAGAGGAATTAATAAGTATGTTATCGATTGCAAGATTTAACAAAAAAATCCACCGACCTTCAATGACAACTCAAGTAAAAACGGCACTTAACTTGCAAGCCTTAATTAAATATATGAAATTTACCTTTTTGTGTTATATAATTGGAAAATTCTTAAAGCATATGAAATAGTTATGAAATGCCCACGTTAAAGCTTATTAGTATTAACAGCAACAAAAATTATTTCACTTGATCAACTGAGCCTTAGGCACCGAAAATTAAAAATTAATTATTCACTGATACGAATTTATAAGACCTGGAGAAGAGCTTCACAAATTAAAACTAGTTTAATTTCTTTAATTTGTACCAGAAATTAGTGCCACGGACTTCGTGCATATTGGTTTCTGTCAAGATTCCGCCAAGTCTGCCTACTCTAGATTTCCAAAGCAATGCGGCTTAATTGTTCTTAGGTTATCGATTCAGTGATTTAAATTTTATTTGCAACTTCATCCAAGTTTTGAACACTTCAAGTGTTTAAAATCCAAATAGTGTTTAAAACCCAATTAGTTTTCAAAATCATATATCGATTATAATTATTTTTGGTTACAATGGAGTAGTTATCTGAAATGTGGAAATGTGATAGCTTGGTAGAAATCAAGTCGTACTAGTTTATTCATCTATGAGTTCATTTTATGGCATTTTTCATTAACAAAATTTCGTTACAATAGTTCGTAGCTCAAAGATATTATAAGTCAGTGATGGAATTCATCAAAAAATTCCTTGAAACTAGAAACTGCAATTGTTTAACATTTTATGTGAGTCTATCCTTCCTTCACATGTTTCATATTTTTTGTGATATAAGTCAAGTGGTTTATTCGAATTATACAAACACATATTAACCAGTTTAGCTTCCAAACCGGATTATAAGCTTCAAATTTTCACGATGTTTTTCTTTATGATTTAATTTGGCAGAAGAGGGGGTTGCGCTGCGACTGGACGAGGTTCGAGTGCCGTATCATCAAGTATCGGGCGTTAGAGTGCGGCTCGAGTGCCCCTTCATACTGGAGGGAGAGGAACTCTATTCCGTTAAATGGTATCGCGGAGCACATGAGTTCTTCCGGTACGTGCCCGCCGATACGCAGTACCGGATGCAAAACTTCGATTTGCCTGGAGTGAAAGTTGACGTAAGTTGAAGCTAGGAAAGTTTATGTGTGGTTTTAATTTGAATAAGTTTTGTGTGTTTGAGTCGTGGTAGCGAAATTTGATTAGAGTTACTGCGGATAGTCGTAATAACTGAGTCGTAAAAATAAATGCTGTTGATGAGTTGACTGAATTTGGAAAACGTTCAAGTGATAATTATAATTGCTTCAAAATTGAAATACAATCGGCAAATCTGAATATAGTCTCAGATATTGCTTAAATATCGTGAGGAGAAATGTCATGTAAAACTAAATCATGGCACTGTGAGCAGTTGTTAGGAAAATTTTTTGCTTTTTCATCTGTTTTAGTAATAAAAACATTAAAAACGTGTTCAGTAATGCTTTTTAAAATATTTTCTAATTTTTATTTCTCATATGCGGCGTAATCTTTTAAAGGGGAGAAATATCAACACAAAGCGTAAAAAATGACAAACAACCAATCAGGAATAAATGTTAACATTGATTTGGCTAGAAAAGTTGTGATCTTGATCCCCATAAATGGATAACCAATTTTTTGATTAATTAATAAATACTTTTAAAGACTTTTTTATCAATATCTCTGAACAGTAAAATTTCTCAGTACATCATCAGCTTTACCAATCAAATTGATAATTATTTAATTAATACATGATTCACGATAAAATAATTTGATTTCCAACTCATTTGTTTGAACATAATCCTTGAATGCTGAAGAACTTACTTGAGTTAGCCATATACGTTTTTAAATTGAATTGCAAGAAATTACAATTACAGGATACACAGCAAAACCTCTTTTTTAAATAATAAGAACCTCGCTCAAATGTTGATGATCGATTGAATGCAATTAGCGATTGGTTTGATCACTCCTCTTCAAACCAATCGCTAATTGCATTCAATCGATCATCAACATTTTTTAACTAAGTAACTTTATAACTAAACTAAGTTAACTTTATAGTTAAGTAACTTTATAGTTAAGAAACATTTGAAGAAGAGTGATCAAGCCAATCGCTAATTGCATTCAATCGATCATCAAAATTTGAGCAACATCATCGATCAACATCATTTTGCATTGCATGCGTGGAACTGGATTTATATCCAGTTTAAAATTATAATCTAATTACCATATAAATTCTTCTTTCACTTTGAACGAAAAATTACAAGGGGTTTGTTAATTTTGTACGAATTTTTCATTTTATTGTTTTTTATTTAAATTAATAGAGTTCTTTTAATGCCGGATAGACGACAGCAAGCGACGCCCGCGTGGTAGAACTGCTACCTGTGTCCCTACAGTCATCGGGATCCTACAAGTGTGAGGTGTCAGCCGATAATCCTTCCTTCTACACTACATCTCAGTCCGCTAACATGCTTGTCGTAGGTAAGCGATACAGGTAGCTATTTAAGACTAATAGGACTTCTATACGTGTGAGTTCAATGAAAGCGAAAGTATAATATTCGGTGTAATATTGCAATGTAGCCTTTTCAAACTAATAGGATTTATATCTGAATGAATTCAATGATAGCGATGGTATAATATTAGGTAGAATATAGCAAAGTATAGCAGGTTTAGATTGCGTCAGAACAACGAAAAACCTGATGACACCACCTCGACCGCTATTATGCTGCGCTCACGAATTTTGTAAAGATTACGGGAAGGGAAGAATGAGATAAAAAATATGTTACCCTATCAACGTCAGAGAAAAAAAAATCAATTTTAAACTGTATCTGTTTATGAGGAATGGAGACCTTAAAACTGGAATGGAGGACGGAGCTCAAAAGACTGAAGACCTTGCTGTACATTTTATTTTAATTCACTTTGGTCATTTTAATAATGTAATTTTTCCTGCCATCCGGGTTCCATTTGTCATCTTCCATTTTGATGAAGTTACTGCTCAAGATATGTTATTCTTCATCCGCCAGAACCACCTGCTGAGGCTCCGGTGATTACGGGACTGAAGGAACGTTACGGGAAAGACGAATACGTGAACGCCACTTGCATCTCCTACAAGTCCCGACCTGCAGCCTCCCTCACCTGGTACATCAACCAGAAACAGGTGTGCTGATGAAAGTTATTTTCGTTAGCAAACATGCAGCCTTGAACACGAGATATGTCTATCAGAAACAGGTGTGCTGATGACGCGTATTTTCGTTAGAAAACCGGCAGCCTTGAACACGTGATAAGTCTATCAGAAACAGGTTTGTTGATAACGGGTATTTTCTTTAGCCATCCTGCAGCCTTGAATACGTGATACGTCTATCCAATGCATGTACAGTATGTTAATAACGGGCATTTTTCTTAGCCATCCTGCAGCCTTACATACATGGAAGGTCTACCTGAAGCAGGTGTGATGATAACAGTTATTTTCGTTAGCAAAGCTGCAGCCTTGAATACGTTATACGTCTACTGAAGAAATTTCGGCTCATATCAGGTATTCTCTTTAGAAAATTTGCAGTCCTGCATACGTGGAGTGTCCACCAGGAACAGGTGTACTGATAACGCTAATATCGGTGGCGCAGTTGCAGGTACATTTTATTACCAAGTTACGGTCTGTGCCTTCCATGGATGACTCAATAAATAAAGTTGGAAGAGTCTTTAGGTATAATGGAGTTGGCAAAGGATTTATTGATGAGGTCCTTAAGTCTACATATTTTCATCTGTACCAAATTTCACAAAATATCGAGGTTTGAGTTGCCTTTTCGACGTGAAGTCAGGGACCTAGGAAAATAGATCTAATGCTATCGGCAGCATAACAATTAAGAAAATAATCGAATAAATGAATATTTTCACTGAAAATATCAAACTCTTCTCTTATCAATCATGCAGTGATCATCAGTTGCCAGAGCCGCCTAATTGACGATTTAAGCTGTTGCAGTTAGTGATTTTTTATTGTTGGTTGGAAATTAGATGCACAAATCTGAAAACTGTGAGAGAATTAGTAAAGATTATTTAACTCAAGGTTTGCTTTTACTAATAAAAAACAGAAATTATTAAATTTAAAGACGTTGAACAGGTGAGCAAAGAAAATGTGCCGCTTTTCACCGAGAAGCTCACCAGAAACAATAGAGAATGACATACATACAGACTGCTAATTACGGTTGAGCATTGGCAACATCAAGTCTTATGGAAGCAATAGTGAACTGTTTGATTGATTGAATGATTTTTATTCACAAAGAAGCTCTAGTTACAATTCAAAAGAGAAAAAGAAAAACATTTACAAAATAATAGAGACATCCTTGTTACTACGCGGCATGTTTTTTTTAAGTAAGGACCGTTTTGGAATTAAAAAAAAGAAGTGCAAAGATATTGCAATAACTTTATTTTTACATAAATGCCTGTACCATAATCTACTTTTCTACATAATTTTCGTAAATATTGAGGCACTTGTCAAAACGTGGCACCAATTTTTGAATACCCTCCTGATAAAATTCTGCCGCCTGACTTGGAGGTGAAATTCTGCTGATATTCTGAATTCTGCTGAAATGGAGGTGGAATTCAGCTGAAAAACGTCTGAAATTCTGCCGCCTGACGAGACAGGAAGAAGAAATTCCAGGCGTTTTTCAGCAGAATTTCACCTCCGTTTCAGCAGAATTCAGAATTTCAGCAGAATTACACCTCCAAGTCAGGCGGCAGAATTTTATCATGAGGGTATTCAAAAACTGGTGTCACGTTTTGACAATTGCCTCAATATTTACGGAAATTATGTAGAAAAGTAGATTATGGTATAGGCTTTTATGTAAAAATAAAGTCATTGCAATATCTTTGCACGTCTTTTTTTAATTCCAAAACGGTCCTTACTCAAAAAACATGCCTGGTAGTATAGCGTAGTATATTGTCAACCGCAGTGCAGAAACTATTGTCAGTTGAATATAGATAATTACTTAGGATTTATAAGGTTGTATTGCACGTGAGCCTAGAAAGAAAGGGAATCAAATAAACAATAAATCCAAAAATTAACAATGTACGAAACTGATATTGCGCGACGTATTTACATTTAAAGCATTCTGACCGACATTTAAGTCCAAATGAATAATAACATTAGAAATTTAAAAGCGAAGAAAACACCACAAAAATTTAGCATATCTTTTTTGAAAACGTTTCGGAGACCAGCTCCATCGTCAGTTCGATAAATTTAGAACACAGATAAATGCAGAAAATTAGTTTGGAGTTAATAAAAAAACACACACAGAAGTTAAAAACCTAAATGTACAGACAAAGGGCAGAATAATAAAGTAAGTACCTATCTATTCACAATTTCTAATGGATAAGAACTAAAGGCAGCATTTAAACTAGGCATCTCTTTAAAAATATACAATGATTCCAAAATACGCAGATCAGAAGCACCAGAACTATAAGCTAAAACCTTAAAGTCTGTGTCGGACACTGGAACGTTGCACTGTTCGGCGTGAGTGCGCACAGCCGAATGAGGAGATTTAGGTTTTTAACTTCTGTGTGTGTTTTTTTTATTAACTCCAAACTAATTTTCTGCATTTATCTGTGTTCTAGATTTATCGAACTGACGATGGAGCTGGTCTCCGAAACGTTTTCAAAAAAGATATGCTAAATTTTTGTGGTGTTTTCTTCGCTTTTAAATTTCTAGTGAATTTGCGATTAAAGCAATCTAGTGACTTTTTTAATAATAACATTATAACGAAATTGATCCAAAACGTCATGAACGCAAAGCGAGAAAAAATTTGAAATTCAGCATCGTTTGGCATTGAAAACAAATTCTGATAAAGCCAATAAAACAACAAACAAAAAAGTTGAAGGTGTCAGCTACTATAAAATTGGACATGCAGATATCCGAGCGTAAATTTAACCGCTGCGTTGGAGGTGTGAGTAGCTTGTTTCGGGCTGGGTAGGTTTTCCGTGCAAAAGCAAGCAGTACAATTTCTTCTGGAATCGCCAAGTTTTCCCATCTGGGAGGCCGGTAAGAGCCAAAAGTGTCAGTCTTCTCCGGTCAGAGTTTGACGCCTTCCGTAAATTTGTCGGTCTTCTGAAGAATGCCTTTCCTTGACGGCCCTGAATTGAACCTGACCGTTTGAAGCGGAAAAAAGACTTTTATTTTGAGTTTCTGTTAAGAAAATGTTAGACAATCGGAAGTTATGATTTTGTATCTGGTGAGGCAATGAACAAGTGATTGAAATGATTGATTATCGGGAGTCTTGTTTCAATATAGTGAGTGAGTAGTAAATTTGTGAAATTTTGCATTACTTATGTACGGATATTTTCCATATGTGGCCTGCAATTGTTTGTGGTATTTTACTTTCACTATTTATGCCATAAAATGTCAAAGTAAATGAAAGTAATGGAAGAAAAAGGCAAATTGAAATTTTGGAAATTGCTCTAATCATTGCAAATGTAGTTCATTTAAAGTTAGTTAAGTAAATATAATTCATTTAAAACGGTACTATAACGTCTTCATGCTAATCAGCCAATTGATGATTTTTCAGAGAAATTAAATGTTGCATGTCTGTACAACCTTAAAATTGCAGACTGCGATATTTCAGCACACTGTTATGATTCTGCAATTCAGAGATTATTATATAACGTTCGAACAATGAATTCTAAACATAAGTAAAAATTTTCCATTGAGAAACAGAAAAATTTCATGTTTATTATATACTTAATCCCTTTTTCGGTTCTAAAGGTTTAGAATTCTCGTGACACGTATGTATAAAAATAGCTGGTGACGCAACTTGGATCGTATATCAATGCGAAAATCTTGATAATCCCGGCTAAAGCGTTCAGAAGTTTTGGGTTGTTGTGCGTCGTAGGTCCAGTTTTTGGAAGGCACCAGCGGTCTGTCGACGTTACAATTTGTCTAGAGCGGTCGGCTCGTGAATTATTCAAAGCGTTGTATTGCGCTGGGAAATCTGCTTCCCTTAAACTCACGTCAAGCGTTGCTGTCCTTAACAAATACCTTCGAGCGGTCACCACTTAAGGGACAGATTGGGACAAATTGTAGCAGCGTCTTGATTACCCACAGGCCAGTCATGCCTTGGTAGAGCCACGAAAACGTCGAGACCTACAAGCGTTACAGACGTCGCTTCTGTTATAGCGGCGTCTGGTGTTGATGGAAGCTGGCTGTACGAGCGAGCATTTACGGCTTTACGAAATTGACAGTCGCACATCACCCGAACAGATTACGGTTTTTGCGTGGAAATTTAAATTTTGTGCAATTTGCGCGATATTGTTGCATTTTTCTCGTGTAGATAAATCCGTTCCTAGCTCTTTAAATAATTTTCACTTGTATTTTCAGTGGGCTCTCTAATGTCCATTCAGACGATGCGGTATTCAGGTACGCATCACAATTCTTAACTGGATAGAATAACTGAATAGAAAATAGATTGAACCAACACTGTCAAAGAATTTTGAAACTAGATTGACAATAATAATGGATTTTTAATTAAAACCAAACATTTGTTTCTGTTCAAACTCTATTACCAGCAATGTTGCGATGAAAATGAGGTCTCAAAGAATCCCGGAAAATTCACTTCATGAAAATTTGACAACAGCGCGATAGAAATTAGAGCATTTTGAACCTGATGAAATTGCAAGTTAATGATTGCGGCTGATTATCATTTCATTAATTTTTTAATTTTTCAGTGCTAACCAAGATCTATAAACGTAACCAAACACCACAAGCATATTTTTATGCACCTAGAATCCCTCATCCTTATAGACCCAGGCATGGAATCATCTCAGCCTTTTCGCCTTGTTCAGTGAAGCAGGCCCTTGCAGCGATATGAGGGAATTATTTTGCGCCCGAGTAAAGATCCAACTATGCAGTAGGCAAAGGAAACAACGTTGATATTGAGTTGATTTCATTTAACCCTCTACCGCCTGACATGAGTAACCGGAGCAATATTGTCACAAGCCTACTACCTACGTTGCTAGTGAGCTCAAAATGACTTGCACTGATGGTTGCCGCCACGTACGACAACTTTAAAATGTTATTTGGTGCGTCCAAACGTCCTCAGGCTGCTACACTCGATTGTTTACGTATATTTTAATTTGAAAGTTATATTCCCGAAGAGCGACATACGGCGGTAGAGGTTTAAACAATATAAAATCAACGTTAAATCAACGTAAAATAACGTAAAATCAACATAAAATCGACATAAAATCAACGTAAAATCAACGAAAAATCAACATAAAATCAACGTAAAATCTACGTAAAATCAACGTAAAATCAACGTAAATCATCATAAAAGCATCGTAAAATCAACGTAAATCATCGTAAAATCAACGTAAAATCGACGTTAAATCAACGTAAAATCAACGTAAAATCAACGTAAAATCAATGTAAACGTAAAATCAACGTAAATCGTCGTAAAAGCATCGTAAAATCATCGTAATTCATCGTAAAATCAACGTAAAATCGACGTTAAATCAACATAAAATCAACGTAAAATCTACGTAAAATTAACGTAAATTCAATGTAAAATCAACGTAAATCGTCGTAAAAGCATCGTAAAATCAACGTAAATCATCGTAAAATCAACGTAAAATTAACGTAAAATCAACGTAAAAGCAACGTAAAATCAACATAAAATCAACGTAAAATCAACGCAAAATCAACGTAAAATCAACGTAAAATCAACGAAAATCAACATGAAATCAACGTAAAATCAACGAAAAATCAAAGTAAAATCAACGTAGAATCAACGAAAATCAAAGTAAAATCAACGTAAAATCAACGTAAAATCAACGCAAAATCAACATAAAATCAACGTAAAATCAGCGTTAAATCCACGCTTAAATGTCAAGCGGGAAGTGTCAGTACTTATTATTATTATTACTCATATTATTATTATTACTCATTATCACTTATATTACTATTACTCATATTACTCATAACGTATTATTGTTTACTCGGTCCAGGCTCCCCGCCACCACCTGATCCAGTACGCGCCGCGGCAGGAGGGGGGACTTGAGACCGCCTTGCTGGGCATCTCCTTCAGGCTGACCCTGCGTCACGCCATGCGTTCCAAGCTCGACTTCAAGTGAGTGTTGTTTGTCAGTTGTTTGAATTATTGTTGTCATAACCATGAAGATTATAACTAGAGGACGTTGAACAAAGAATAATTTCATGTTTGAAAATAATTAATGTTTCTGTTTGTCAGTTATTTGAGTTATTGTTACGGTCATAACCATGCAGATTATAACAGGACATTGAACAAAGAATAATTTCAGATTTGCTGCTTGTCAGTTGTTTGAGTTATTGCGATCATAACCATGCAGATTATAACTGGAGGACGTTGGACAAAGAATAATTTCATTTTTGAAATTATTTATGTTTCTGATAGTCAGTTGTTGGAGTTATTGCGATCATAACCATGCAGATTATAACTCGATGACATTGAACAAAGAATAATTTCATGTTTTAATAGCACCCACTTCAAGTGAGTGCTGCTTGTCAGTTATTTGCGTTATTGTGGTCATAACCATACAGATTACTACTGCAGAACTTTGAATAAAAAAAATAATTTTATATTTAAATAAAGATTATTGATTGAGAACATCTCCTAATAGCTTTACTTACTTGCATTAAACCGAACACCGCAATTGCCCACATCACTGAGAGTATTAACTGCTCGTCAACATTTCCCATTATAAACTGCTCATATCATTCACTTATATTAGCTACTCACAATTATTATTGACATTGATTGGTGCTCGTGAGCAGCTGTACGGCGAGCATCGCGGCCGTGTACTGGCGATGGAGCGCTCACAGTGCTCAGGTGGTGGGCGCTCACGGTGATGCGGCGAGCAGTGCTCTGGAGAGCAAAGTTGTGCTCATGAAAGGTGAGTCTGTTGAACTGAAACATGTTGAAATAAAAGTGCATTGACAGAACGACAGTTGGTTTTTACCACAGTCTACTGATAAGATTAATTTTCATTGATAGGTAGATGGTCAAATTTAATGACATTTCCAATTATTAATTAGTTCTTATAGGATATTAACGGTTGGTATATCGATGAACTTCAGAAGGTTGAATCGATTATTGCTCGTTAGGAGTCAATCTCCAAGAAGCATCTGGTAATTTATTATTTTATTAGTATAACTATTAATAACTATTATTATAAATATTATTACGTTATATTACCTATCATTATATAATAACAATTATTATATTAGTTTCATAATGATAAGCTCCGTCGGTTGCAAATGTTTCCAGTTTATTTTCAAGAAAATAATATTCATCAAAACCAAATATTTAGATTTCGAGAAGAAATAGTTGTCCAAAATGCATGGACGTTTTCCTACAGCTAATAATAAATTTTTTTAAACAAACGGTATTTTATAAACTAAAGATGAAACTTGAATTAGTCGAAAATATAATAATTTGCAAATTTAAGATCAAAGGCCTGTATTTTTCCAATTATTACTCGCGTATTGTTCTAATACGATTACCTTATTTTACACTGCTGCATACATGTTAAAGCTGATAAAACCGAAACTTGGATCTAACTGTAGCATGTAACGTGCATACTTGTACTCTTTAAAGAAGATGTACTCCTGAGAGCAAGTTTTAAATTACATTCTCACGTAGCGATGTGAAAGAGAGCTACCGTGTCAATAATGCAGCATATCCTGGAAATTGTAGAAAGCATTTTTACGTTATATCATTTCTTGTCACATTTATATGCGATCGCGTGAACCCTAGACCACTACAGCACTTAATCAATTGCCTTATAACTCCTTTTATGTGTACCGATAAATTTTGTGCATATTTTTTACAGTAAAGTCAATTGCCCTCTATGTGAGAAGCATCGCATTTATGTATTTAGTTTGCATTCCGTTAATGCTTCATTTTCAGCTTTGTTGATCGCTGTTTTAAAATATGAATACTCGTACATGAGAAACAGTTCAAAATTTGTATCTCACACATAAAAGTGATTCCTCAAGATTTGTTGTGAAGAGAATGGCGGAGTTGCGTAAGTCAGCTCATTGAATAAAATGTTAATTGAATGTGGCTTTTCTACCTTATAAGCATGCTAAGGAAATGTGTGATTAGTCCAATCTCTAATCTTGTTCAATAATCCATTTAAACTAATATTAAAGTAGCTTAGTTACTTTGACACAATCTAGCCATAAATATTCGGTGTCAAAATATCTCTCAAGTTATCTGCATTCATCTTTCCAGATGAGGGCCAGTCATCGGATGCCGCAAGAATGCGTGGAACATCAGCAATATTTCTCTGTCTTCTGCAATGTCTGCTAAGCCTGAGTTTTACAAGCCACTCAAGCAGCTCTTTACGCAACAAATTCATTAATTAATCGGATGAATTCCAGTATTTTCTTTACAATATTAGTGTTCAGTAATAATTATTTCAAATCTGATTAAAACCAAACATGGTGGATGGTCGTACGAAGCAGGATTCATTTATTACTGAAAGAAAACGATTGCCATTTCCGTTTAGGTGTTCATGGAAGTGACAGCGATTAAAGTTTTAGTCGTGAACGTGAAATATTTCCACTTACAGAGAGAATATACGGAGTAGCATTTACGCACTGCACTGCCATTTTACTTAACGAGAGGCTTTAGAAACTTCGATTTTAATTTCGCTAAAAGGGTGGTCGTTATGCGCATTATGCAGGCGTAAGCACAGCGCGTTTATTCCATTGAACTTCTAGAGCGCTTTAATATTAAGTTTTCCAAATAACGTGAGCGAAATCCCCCCCAAAAAACTATAAATGGTATCACAGCACTTGATAGTGAATCCATTTTATCCGATGGAAAGTTTTTTTAAAAAGAGAGTGTTGTTAAATTTTAGGAATTCATTACTTAGATCATGATGATCAAAAACTACTCATGAAAATTGTACCGCCAATTTGATGAATCTTATTTATTTTAGCACGGGCATATGCAAGTACGATGGTTGAAATGTGTAAATTTGAAATTTCCTAATATTAATTTTGAATCATTATGAAACTCGAGATAAATCTACGACGGAAATATTTAATAACGTAAACAGAAGAAATGAATAAAGTAATTTCACTGCTAATTTCATTCAAAAATCGGAAAAACGATTTCATCTTGCGCACCAACTTTATTCATTTATTTACTGTGTAACTGTTTTTACGTTTTTCATTTGCACGTTTGTCAAGTCCCGTGCCATATTGTATGATCAACTGTTCAGCTTGTTAATTGGAAAACATGAAGAAAAAAATAAATAGCAATTGGTACTCTAATAATTCGTAGGTTGGAAATCTATAGGGGCAATACGAGTGCCAAGTATGAGTTCTCAAAAAGCTGATAATTTTATGTTGTAAATAAATATTATTACCAGCAGAGATATTCGCTCAATTGTAAATAATCTCTGCTGTAGACATAAAATACCTTTGTGTGGAACGCAGCGAGCTTGTACAAAAGAGTCACTCTAATTGAGCTAAAAATGGAACTGAACGTCAGTGTCTCAAATAGTACATCGAACTGTTTGGGTTGTGTTGTTTTAGAGGTTAAGTTTATTCACATAAAAAGGTAGTGTTACATTATATTGCACTGAATATTTCTAGTTGCATTATTTAATTTTCTTCGTATAGTATAATTAGCTCAACGCGAGTGTTCATCAAAGAGAGTTTCAATTTACCGCCTAATTTATGAATTATTTGTTTTATGAAATGAGGAAAAATGAAAATACAAAATGGCACACTCGTGAGGATTGAATAATTATCGAATTGCCAACAAATATTCATCCGTATAAAAGGCATTTCTTATATTCCTTTTTAAATGTCGTCTCGAATCGTTAAGATTACACCCTTTCAACTTACTGCTACTATTGCTGAATGAGTGAATTTATTTATTTTTATTTTATTTTTATCAGACGGATAGGTGTTTATTGCACTCATCAACTTATCGCATCGTCACTGCTGTGAAGATCATCAGATAAAGGATCAAGAACCAATATCACATTGAGTACCGATTTCATACCAAGATGAAGCCAATTTTACAGCGATGCCGCGATATTGTATAATTTTCTTCATTTTTAGCGCCTTTTCTCATTTATGGAAAAAATGCCCTATTGTGCTCGTCATGTCCGTCCGTTTGTCCGTGACTTCACGTTTTCGTCGACGATAAAATGAGCTCTCTGTCACTCACTGCAGTGAGTACTGAGTTATATTTTTTCACGTATTGAAGAGATATTAATTGGTTTATTTAACAATTCTGATCGTGGCCGTGTTGGAATGAATTAGCTTCAGATAAAAAATTGGATTCAAGGCTTTTAATTTTTCACATGGAAATTATTTGTAAAGTTTGTAATGAAATCACCAAATGTAGGTTTTTCAATAATTGAAACTAATATTTATTCCAAAATTGCTTTACTGAAGTGATGAGCGACATCGAAAATAAAGAATTGCAGACCATTAGAGATGCATGTAATGAATGTGAAGCAATTAACAGCTGTGAAAATCACACATTTCTGAAAGTGGAATATCTAATTTTTTAAGCTCGCACTTTCATTTCAGCGAAATTTTTTAATACTTATATATATAGAAAGAATTTTTATTGCAGTCGAAATTGAACTCATTCCAGCAGCACGACGCAAGTAGGAACTAATTTAGGTGACAAATTGGTTTCTCCAAGCTGAAGATTTAATTTAAATAATTCTCAGATATATTTACTCTAACGATTTATCAAGAAATAATCAAATTCGCTAGTTTATTGGACTTAGTTCGGCAAATAATTTCTTTCGTTCTGTTTTTTTTTCAACGCTCCAGTAAACCTAATTGTGATTTAAGTTGCCGAAATTAAAGCTAATGCTAAACATGAACTCAAAATTATTGTAAGCAATAGTTGACAACGTCAAGTATTGATTCCTATATACCTTAGGTGATGACAAATTTCATGGTGTAACGACAAGATCGTGTTTGACATCGTCACTTGAGTGTCAACTGGAATTGATGTCTTGCTCAACGGCCAGTATTAAGTATTCTGTCATGAATGTTGAATATATGTTGAATCATCGAAGATATATTCTACTTCGCTTTGTCTTGGAACGTTCCGAAGTTGTTGCAAATATTGGAAAAAGCAACGTCGGCCATCACCAAAACATGTTTACTGCACGACGGCGCTGCAGGAAACATTTTAACTGCTCGAAGGCTATCGCGCTGCATGTTTAGTGAAATTATCTCGAGTCAAGACACGTTTGGATGAAGGCAGTGTAGATTATTCCGTTTGATCATGACACGATGTAATTATATCCACGCTGAAATGAAGCTCGGAAAATTCCATAATTAGTCTCAGCGTCTCGAGAGGCTTCTCACTTACAAGCGCAATAAAGTGAATAAAAAGCGCATAATTTTTGTCATCAATTTTCTATAGAATAAATTGCCGGTTTTAATGAGTTGTCAACAAATATTGATGACATTCTTCTTTTGTGAATACTTGAATTATATTGTAATAAAGAACTCCTATTTATCATTACTTCTCATTATAATTGAAACCGATCATCAATAACAACAGGCAGCGATTGTTTATTTTTTGCCATATGTATATCCTTTGCATGAATTTAATTAAAGCAATTAATTAAGCAGCACATATAATAAAAGCTAAAGTATTATTATTATCATTGGAGGTATACGCTGCGATTAACTCAGTTGATGAAAGAATTGATATTATTTTAACAAATTTGTATTCGTCTTCTTAATCATAACTTGGAATATTTTGCTTGAAGCATTTTTGTGATGAAACCGATGTCTCACCGAAATTCTTGATATAGTTATTTCATACGTCAACATGTTATGTAAATGTTTCATTATATGCACTTTTGACTAATATTTGCACTCGACGTGATCTGTCATATTTCATGTACAATGAAACAAATTAAAAAAATTGTTTTGTTTTTCTTGAGCCCCTTTAACGTACGCAGCATAAAATATTTAAGAATTTCATCAGTCTGGGTGTTTGTGTGACGAAATGCAGCGAATTTTGCAAAAAATTTAAGAGCGGCCTTATTATACGAGGATATTATGCAAGAAATAAAAAGTCTAATAATAAAATGAAGTGATATAAAGAATATAGAATTTAATAACAGAAGCATTAGAATATCATGATAAGAGAGTTACAAGCAAATAATAAGTATGATTATAAAAAATTTTAAATTCCAGAAAAACTCGGCCCTGGATAACAGTTCACTTTTTAATTACATGGTCTGCCACAAGTTTTACAGAAAAACATTCATGTGATTTGGAGTCGTTACATTCAACTAAATCGCGAGAACTGCTTTGGAAATTTATTATAATTTCTTTATTATTAAATTTATTGAAAATTTGAAATCGAAGTTTTCAGCTGGAATGAAAATTGCTGTCGTCGTTATCTAGAATAAAAAGAGAATTGGGGTCACTGTTTGAATTTGAATGGAAATGAGCTTCTCTTTATCAGTATTCTTGTCTAATAGTCATACTGATTACTAAAGCTTATTTTGAAGGTTTTTGGTTTTATTTTGTCTGGGTTGTTTCATTAGTAT